CGACTGCAGGCAGAACGGCTGCTTGGTGTCGCCTACTGAATGCCTGGAGGAAGAAGACAAAAGAAGACATTTAAGTTTCCAGTCTCACTGAACATCCAACCAATGTCGCTTTGACAATCACACCTGGAAGATATACTTTGCAGTCTTGGCACTATTGCTGAGTACTACCACAGTCATGTCTGTCAGCTCCTCGACAGCAAAACTGAGGCTGTTTGAGGGTTAGGCGTATTGATCAATGGCAAGAAACAGTAGTTGTTGAATCAGTAACTGTTCAGGAGCTTTTGATCACATCACACAGTCTTCCCCAGCATCAGTGAAATCAAATTTATCTCAATATCAATCTCAGTCTCAATCATGTAATACAATTGAAAGCTCTGCAATAGCTGTTTGTTTATGTCAAGTAAAAACCTGTAATTCTTACCTCTGGCCATCCACTGTACACAAAGACACACCCCACAGTTCTGGGCTGAACTTGGCCAGCTGGGGGATGTAGTCTGCAACCTAAAGCCAAAAATACAAAAGAGAACCACAGTAAAATCCCACCGTTTATTTTTTAAACATGTTCAGTATTGGATCTGATGCACGCAAATAGTGGCAGGACAGCCTGAATTTAAAGAAAGGCAATCTTTAACAGTAACTTGTTCCTGACTTTATCATATACATCACAATCATGTGTGCAATGCATGCAGGGCTTATTCAATCAAAGACTTCATTCATTTTCCATTTCTATACAATAAGGAACAAACAAACAACACATGCTTACCTTCCCATCAGTTTGGTGTTGCACTGTGTTGTAAATTTCATTTATCTTTTGAGCAAACACATCAAACTCAGGGATGATGAATTTCTTTCTGAAGGCCTGGATCAGCAGGACGATGTTTCCACCAACACACCTGAAAGAAAAACAGCATAATGCAATGGGAACTCAGAAGCACTTAGTTGAAATCAAATACTTTATATTACTGTTTTTGACAATTCGTAACACACATCTCTCAATAGTAATGGATAGATATGTAAGAGTTCACTTTCTCAAAACTCTTCACACAGTCAGCACGACAGAAGTCAGTGAGGACTACACTGTGGATCACTGTTCATTGCTATTACACAAAATGCATGCAATGACCACTTTTTCAAATTTCAGAACTGTTTTCTCGCTCAAGCCTTGTGTATTTATTTACATCCCATTTTGCATGTTTACATTTGTAAAAACTGTTAAATTTACATTAAAAACCTAACTAAACAATACTGTAAATTATTGACTGAAATTTGTTACATTCTGCTACTACAAAGAAATAAAGAAAATGCATTAACTATTTTTGGGGCTTTTGCCTTTAATCGATAGGACAGCTGAAGAGTGACAGAAAAGGAGAGTGGGTATGACATGCAACAAAGGGCCATAGGTCGGACTTGAACCCACGGGCGCTCCACCAAGGACTCCGCCTTGCTACATTGGGCGCCAGCTCAACCAGGTGAGCTACCAGGGCACCAAAAACACATTAACTCCTTATCAGGACGTGCAACACTGAGTGACCTTTATAAAAACCTGTGCCAGGTGAATAAATGGGGCAAGTGAGGCAGAATCTAGAACATTTGTAATTGTATGCGACAATGTGGCATTTCACATCACATTCCCGTCACGGAGCGGTTTATAGCCCTCTCAGGATGGTGTCAATTTTCCTTCCACCTTACTCTTCATTACTCAAACCCATAGAGGAATTATTTTCCCCACGAAGATAGAAAGTTTATGACCACCCACCACATGATCAGATGTCCTTCTTGGACGAGATAAATGCTGAATGTTTGGACATATCTGCAGAAGAAACACCGTAACATAGTACATGTAGTCTGTGTCTGTGTGTGTGTGTGTGTGTGTGTCTGTCTGTGTGTGTGTGTGTGTGTGTGTGCGTGTTTGCATTCACTGGTGTGAGTGGAGAGCAGCAGCTGCAAGCTATCAGTCTGAGCAACAGGCCTTTACTTTGAGCCACACAGTAAATAAAGCTGACATGTCCTGACACGTGCTGCATAACACTGACTTTCACACCTCCAGGTTTGGACTAACCAATTTAAAGGAATATTTCACCACATGTAGCACATTTTATGATTGTTAGCTTTTACTGAAGTGTGAACATGAATTATTAATGACTTGTTTGGCTACTTATATATTACTCAACAGAGACCACGGTGATTAGAAAACATGTTTCAGATTGATTGCGGGTCCAAGAAATTACAAATTATCTGAAATGTTTCTATGACATTACTCAGGTGAAATGACTAATTCTGTATGTAACGGCATGATCACTCTGCAGTACTGCAAACCCCACAGTCTTAAAAACTACAGTGGAGTTGAATCAAGACATTTCAGTCAGTCTCACCAAACATTTAACATTCACAAAAGTAGGAATCAAATTACATTATAAAGGAATTTGGCCTCCTGTAGTTCTGACTTCCTTCACATTCTTCATGTTGACTATTCCTAAACTTGTCATAAATACTCATAATCAGGAATGTAAAGTATGTGTAGCAGACAATGCAAGAAAAAAGAAAGACAAAACAAGAGACTAGCAGAGAGACAATCAAGCAACAGGTCACTAGCAAATCCTTCATTACAATGGATTGTTGTTGGAGAGGCGGACTAAAAATAATTTCTGGTCTCATGCCTTCACCGAGTGGTGAATGGAAAACAAGACACCATGAGACAGCCAGTGCGGACACACAGGTCAGGTTGTATTTGCAATAACAAAAACATTATTATGAGTTACATCAAGTGTATTTCCAAATAAAATGGAACCGTTTGTAAGGACATGAGAGTCTGCTGTTGTTGTATATTAGTTCATTATTAATTAATTATTTGATTCAGTTCTAATCCCTTGTCCTTCTCTTCCAGTGTCTCACCTGTGGAAAAGGTCTTTGTCCATCATCACCTCACCAGCAGACTCCTTCACAGCCTGCCGAAGCTTCTCCATGCAGTCCTTCAAACGAGGGTCTAATGGGTGAAGGCCGGTTCTCTTCAGGGCCTGCAAACAGCAATCGACCAGATGAAAACATAATAAAAATAGATAGATAGATAGATAGATAGATAGATAGATAGATAGATGATATGTTTAGCTACTTACTGAGGTAAAGTATGAAATGGGGACTTGCTCTTTTCCCTCTGTGATGGTGTAGAAAAGCATTTCTTCCACTCCAGAGCTGGCAGACACTGAATAGGCATTCCTGATGAAGTGAAAACAGAAAAGTGATCACTCTTGTGTGTTATTCCTATACGCACTGCTATAAAAGATATAGCTGAAATAATCATTTATTCTAAAATTGATAATTCAGTTAGTTAAACAGTTGCTGACTGTTGCCCAGCTGGCTCTTTCATTCATAAATATCTGAAAGCATTCATTTGACAGCTTTACTTAGTTTTGCATATAAAACCTATGAAGACTTTGTGAAATATGATCCTTTGTTATAGATCAAACAACCTACCAATACATACAACTAGGCTAGGGCATTGCAAGTATGTTTTTACAGTGTTTATTTTTTTTATTTTTTATTTTACAAAGGAACTGAATACTTCCTCCACCACTGTTGATATGTGATAATAACAGGTGCAGGTATATCCACACACCTCCACACCAGGCAGATGATGAAGATGTTTATCAAACAGAAACACTCACATTTTGTGATGGAAACGGTCCAAGTGCGCAGGCAGTGGTCGTCGCAGGGACGCCGCTGTGGATTTTGTGCTCAGACAACATGCTGGCTGGATGATGAACACCTTCTTCACCGCGTCTGTGTTTTTGACGATCAGCTGTACGGAGCTGGACAGACGCAGCGCTCTCAGGCAGTTCATGGCTGCGACAACCGACAGCCACAAACCCGCTCTGACACTCTCATGTACCGCAGATAACGCTGGCAGCTGGTCGCTCCTGCGGGGTCACTGACTTTCACTTGGCAGGAGGGGGGGGGGAGTTTTGCTGCCTTCAGGTGTCGTCGGGAATTTTGTTGTTAGACTTACAAACTTTTCGCCAAACCTAACAAATAGGCTACGATATAGCTTAAATGACCGATTTTATGCCTGATATTTAGCACAATTATGCACTTGAAGATACATAAAGTAGCTTTGCACCATGTACCAAGTATTTTATTCATTATATTATTAATGAGTAAACATGTGCCATGAACTGGTGGTAATCTAAATGAGAGGAAAAAAATGTTACAAGGGAAACTTGAACGCAGCAGGGGGGTAAGAGGCACACCACCTCGTGTGGTAACTGTCTTTTGACTGACAGATACAGTAGCCAATCAGGAGCTAGGATTGTGTTTTGGAGCCACGAGGGCTATGGTGTCAATTAATCTGGATAAACTGAACCTCTTGTTACGACATAATTAGCTTTAATGAAGGAAAGAGATCAACAGTAGCAAACAGTACTTAGTTATGATGCAGCAATAACATAACCTCACTCATGTCAACACCTCTTCAGAGATATTTATGTCTGAGAGAGCCTTTGACCTGTTGTGTAACAACACAGATGAGCCTCTCAGTTTATTATTATGGTCCCCACCATCTGAATCTGTTCAGTACATCTTGTCAATCGCTTAACTTAATAACTAACTGACTGATAGCTGTAATGAACTGTTTAAGGAACAAAGATATTTGATTAAGATGATAAGTTACCTAAAAGGTACATTTCTGAACATCTTATTCGCCATGAAATACTAAAGATATTATATATATTAGCCAGAAATGTATAAGTGATATCTATCTACACAGAACTTTTCTCTTGGTTTTTCTTAGACAAACACTAAAATAATATACTATTTTGAGGATAATGCATAATAGTGACCACAAACTACTGTGTTTTATTATTGTTCATTAATGCAGCATATAAATATATACAGCCAAGATGTGGCTGCACATCACTATAACCCAGAGTATAGACATTTTTTTAATGGTATTTCTTTTATTTGTGTCCGCAATAAGCTGATTGTTGCATTCTGAGAAACACTATTTCTTGATAGTAAAATCCTGTTTATTTATCCTCTGATGGTTAACAGCATCCATATTAATGAACAGTGTCAAAAGGCACAGCAATGTGTTAACAAACAATAATAATACAGTGAATTATATAATACAGTTTCATTCTTTCATATTGCCTAACTGTCTCATGCAGACAAGTAAAAATACTTTTACATGGCAGATTATGCACATATAAATATAATAACTGCAACATCAGATCATTGCATGGCCAATGTAGATAAGGAATACGGGTATTTTAAAAGGCAAAGGATTAATTTCTTTGAGCCAACCTCTGTACTGCATCAAAACGACACACAATTACATAAAAAGGTTGATAACTCTGATGACATTCCTTCAAAGTCATCATGAGTTACACGCTCTTTGAAGGACGAGGCAGCACCAGCTTCAGCCCAATATCAACTACACAGGAAGGCATGTAAGAGAGAGGGATCCAGAGAAACTTGGCATCCCAGCCGGCACTGTATCTGGTGCGTGGGTAGGCAGCGGTCAGAGCGTGTTCCATGCAGTTGGTCACCTTGGTGAGGTCAGAGTCGCAGATCGCATTCATGATCAAACGTTGGATCTTGATGTCTGAAAATGAGAATAAATGTAAAATACATTTTGTGCATAAAATGTAATAATTTAACTCGTTTACTTCACCTCTATATGTATGTGTTGTATAATGAGGAAATTCATGATATTTTAAAGGCAAAATAATAAGTAAGTCATAATTTTTTGGGGCCTTTTATGGATAGTGACAGGTGAAGGTAGACAGAAAAGGGGGGTAGAGAGAGGGGATGACGCGCAGCAAAGGGCCACAGGTTGGAGTTGAACCCTGGGCCACTGAGCTAACCGGGCACCCCATGAACATGCATTTTCACACTGTCCTGCAACCTTAATTGTATGTATTTCCTAATGTATATCTTTTTTAGGATTGTTGATGTATGTGACAGTATTTTTGATTGACTGAATGTTGCCTTCAGGTGCAGCCGAACAGCTTGTTTTCAGGAAATAACTGCAATGTGATTTTTATAAACGAATACAGAAAATGCACTAAAGTTTTGGCATTTGTTACAAAACGGGACATTTTCATGAAAGATTAGCAGACACTCACATTTCATTGTAACTGAGCTCAATTCAAAAGTAACATAACTTCCAGTGTAAGAATAAGATTTTTAGACTCTTAAAGGGCCAGTGTGTAGGATTTATTGGCATCTAGCGGTGCAGTTGCAGATTGCAACTCCCTTGTTTCACCCTCCCCCTCCAAGTACGAAGGAGTAACTATGGGGCCCACAAACGCCTCTATCTAGGACTCCATGGAAGGCGACCCACTCATTCTAAGGTAAATATCACAACAAAGCCTCCCAAGTGTTACACTGGACCTTTAAAATGTGTGTTTTAAACAGAGATTGTGAATGTGATCAAAATCACAAAACATAAAACAAATACAAATAAACCAGTGGAGTGATGCTTACTCATATATGAGTCCAAACAGAGATTTGCAGTCTACTTACACTTATCAAGGTACTTGTCTCCATAGCTGGCTTGTACTTCAGGGCTGAGCTGGTTCCACAGTCGATGCAGCTCCCTCTCGAGGGGGTCGAGGCTTGTCACTGCAGTCTTGAAAAACCCTGGCTCAATGATGCACACATTGATTCCAAAGTAGCTTATATCTCTCCTGAAAAAGGAAAAGTGATGTAGAATAACACCGAACACAGCAATTCATAGATTTTTTAATAACTAACAAAACTTGAAAACAGGTTTGTGACAGCGGCTGCAACCTTTTTCATGAAACTTTAATATTGTAAAATAGTTCCTTGAGTGTAGGTAATGAAAACTCAATAGTATATCTAGTAAACTGCAGTAAGGCTATTGGTTTATGGTAAGTACAGCAATTCATTTAGAAGCAGTGAGAAAAAGACCCTGTCTGGTCTCATCAGCCAGTATTTGCCTGCCTGGCATATCTTGAGGCTGGAATGTGGTTTATTGCTCTAATTGTGTGCTGTTGCTTGCTCAAAATGTTTAATATAAAACCCTGTCTGCAAACCAAATCTCCCTCACGGGGGAATGAAGATATGAAGATTATAACTTTAATGACTATTTATCCTCATAATTAGAATATAGGTCTTTCTAACTAGCGCTACAAAATATTTTCTTTGTGTTTAATCAAGCATGCAGGCTGTTACGGTACATTCTTATCTAATGTTGATGGGGCTGTGTAAGTCTCACCTGAGGCAGTCAGAGAAAGACTCCACTGCAAACTTGCTGATGCAGTATCCACCTCCGTTTGCAGCCACCCTGCCCAGCACCGAAGCTACATTTACAATACGACCATGAGCCTTTTTGATGAGCGGCAGGAAGGTCATCGTCATGCCAATCACCCCATTCATATTGACTTTCAGCGTGCTGTGGAAATCCTCCACCTTCATCCACTCTGAAGGGCCCATGGGTAGTGAGCGTCCAGCATTGTTCACTATACCCCAAAGTCCTGAAAGGGAAATGAAAGAAAAAAGTTGGGAGAACAGTTTTTGTTAGAGAAATTTGATTAACTGAGTCATCTTATATTCAAATAATGCATAATAACATCATCTCTCACCTGTATCGCCAACCTCCTTCTTGGTCCACTCCATGGCTTTCTCGATGCTGTCCTGATTGGTCACATCCAGCAGGACAGTCTTCAAATAAGGCCCCGTTGCCCTCTTCAGGTCATCGGCTCCCTTTTCTGTAAGACAGCCAGCCAGCACGCGGAAACCTTTGCGATCGAGCTTCTTACACAGCAGGTTTCCAAACCCAGTGTCACAGCCGGTCACAAAGACATACTTTTCATTCATATTCTCAATCTCCAGGCTGTCTCTGTACAGCCACGCGATAATCCATAACACCACAAAGGTAGCACTGACACACAACCAGACATTTTCCCTAAAACGAGAACAGAGAGAAGAAGTTTTGATAAGAAGAAGGGATTTGACTTTCATAAAATATTCAGGATCTTTAAGTTTGGACAGTTCAAAGGTTAAGCTACAGCTGGCGAAAATACTGCCCAAAATGCAGTGTAGCATTGGGTTTTCTTACCCTAAAAGGTCCAAGACAAACTGTGTATCCATGCTGCTTCCAGGATTAGAAGTGGGGTTTTGGTCACCTGGAGGACTTAGTTCTTGCTGAAAAAACATGTTGAGCAAGTGTTACTAGGTACTGACATGGCGGACTGCCAAATCCGATTTTTAAGGAATGGAATTAAAAGTAGAAATACACCTCATTTGAGACTTATTTCAAGAATCCCCAAAGCCCTACTCGATTTCACAATATTTTAGGTTTCATTGAAGCATTTTTGATAACTTCTGGGACACAATGAGTTTGTTCACTGAGGGCCTTCATAGAGGCGCTTGTAATACAGAACTGCTTTGGGCACATGAGAAATATGTGGATAATACTCTTATGGAAAAAAGAAAGAAAGAAAGGCATTTGTGAGGGAGGGTGACCCGAGTGGGGGTGCATTGTTTTGAAGCATAAATTGAATGCCCGTGACAGAGCTGCTTAAGCTACTCAATGCTGCAAACCAATTAGTTTTTCTGGATTATTAGTGAGAAAAACAAAAGTAAAAGATACTTCAGTGGATCATGTTACCCATGATATCAAAATTGCCTGCAAACTTAAACCAGATACAGAACCTTTACTGTTGCTGTTGGCATGAGAACAATAATTAAAACATCAAGGATCCTGTAAAATTACAACTCAGGTTTAGAAAATGTCATTTAGTTTCACATAAATTGAGTAATACACCAGAATACCAATCAGATAAATCAATATAATTTGAACTGGTAAAACTAGTCAAACTTAATATGTGAATTACAGTTTGATGTAAGATTTCATTATAAATATTTAAACCAATTATTACACTAATTAAATTGAACCATACAAATATTAGAGGTTAATGAGTAAAAGACCTTGAACATGCAAGAAAGAAAAAGTGTTGTAATGCAATGGTGAGATATAATTATATTAAAATTATATTATCCTACCTTTTCCTCTTTTTGAGAAGTGGATGGATCTCCACAAGTTATCCGTCCTCTTCCCTTTCCCTTACTGATTATTCTTCAGTCTTAACTCAGAGAGGCTGGTCAGAGAAAGGCTTTATCCCTGTGGTTTATCCCTTAAGATAAGTCCGCAATTGGTAATCCCCAATCTGTAACCACTAGGTTTGTGCAAGTGTGTGTGTGTTTAAGAAAAAAAAAGTGGTGGGAATTTCAGAATACTGAGAATTTACTGTGCACAATGTGAACTTTTTTTTTTTGTTTTTCATATTCCAGTTTACACCCAGAGTACACAATCTAATTTTAAAATCACATCAGGTTCTCTCCTTTTCCAGAACCTGCTGGTTTCCAGGGCATGATAAGAACTTTATGTTTTAAGAGTGTTAAAACAAACTTACAATAATCCCAGATGTTAAAAGCCTTGTACACACTCAAAAACATGCGTATAATCTCATCGGCTCATTCGGTTCACGGACCTATTATATCAGTTTTAAAGCGTAAACAATATATGCATTGTACTCTGTACCTGGTTGTCTATATCTGCTATGCAGTCAGCTCAAAGCACAGAGGTGTGGACAGTACACAAGAAGTGGCCATTGTACTGTACATTGTGTTGTGGCTTATCAATGTACTATTTCAACAAAACTCTGGTGCAATATTGAAAAATGTTAAATGTGACTTGCTTCACAATTGCACCCTCCATTAAAGAAAACTATACACTTTAAACTTCCCCTGTGGCTATTTCTATCAAGATCTTGACTTAGATAAAGATAGATTTTTACATTGAGACAATGAGCATGAAGACTCTTTTACATAAAACAGGCAAATTCCTATGCCATGTGAAGTCCAAACTGGAGAATAAAGTGTGTTACCAACTGGTTCCTGACACTGGTTTATTACTAAGTTAATTGAAAATGTAATTGGTTACCAAACACTTCTACATGACTGCATTCAACAGCCTTGTGCGTTGTGACGTAACTTTCCTTCACGTCACACATTCCATGAATTGTCCAATCACACTAGCCCAGCAAGTATTTATCCAGTTATTGTATTTAGTGGTTTACCAGCAGTTCTGTTGCAAAACCTTGAATCCTAATTTGTATGACCTTGGATATCTAACATTACTACTTTGTCTTCTGGCCTTCTGCCTCGCAATTTAGTAACAAGTAATTTAGTAATGCAATCCAAAACCAATCCTTGACCCCCAACAAGTAAACACTTTCCTTAAACATTTGTGAATGTCAGACAGTCCTGACTGAACTTTCACTTCATTGTTTATTTAACATTAAAGTTTAACCTGCCATTGATTGAAACTTCCCTTTTGAAAATGAGGTTCTTCATGCAAATTTTCCCTTGTCCTTTTTTGTCATTTATTCTCATGAAGCCATTCTCACACACAAGTGGGCAATTAAACTCATTTAGCCTTTTGACATAAGGAAAAAACACCAGTGCATTTCTTGTGCTTTATTAAAAATAATGTTTCACCAATAAATGAAAACAAAACTCAATCATCGTCATTATCACCATACATATAATTCATAAATACAGACCTACATAACTCAGGCAAAAGGTGCTGAAAAGAAGCCTTGCTATAAAACGTTTAGGAAATACGACAGACAAGGACACAGGTGTCAATTTGTCTGTACCCTCTTAAAGCTATTACAAGCAGGTGAACTAAGTTTTTACATGTGACACCTTCGAAAATCCTTACCGAGACAACCCCCCCAGTATTCAATTACCAAAATGTTAACTGACGTCACTACTAAATAAATAGATGTTAGACTTATTTCATACACAAGCTTGATCTTTGAACAACTCCAGCATCATTGTGTGCTTGCACTCTTTGATATTGTTGCTCACACAAGAACTTAAGCAGTGATGCAGGCGTGGAATTAACTGTCAAATGCAACAAACTTTCAACATTTCTCTGAACAAAGTAACCATCAGCATTAGCCCACTCAGAGAGGAATGCGAGCAAAGTCACTGCTGCTTGCGTCTTTGCTGATAGGAGTCAACTGGATTTCTGCTTCGCTCCAGTGTATTAAGTTTCAGCTGTAATCATCCAGCCATGAAGTTTATGAGGAAGCAGACTGAAGTTGACCCTTGTGTACGTACTCCAGAGCTGTGGCAGTGGTCCTCATGTCCATCTCAATGCTGCGGGCCCAGTTCTCCACATCCCCAATTTCCTGTTTGAAAGAAAGTGCAGAAACAGAATTAGTATCACCACAGTGTACATCTACCAATCTAACTCAGTGGTTCTCTACCTGGGGGTTGCCAAATGGTTGTGGAGAATAAAATAAAATAACATACTGTGGCAAGCAGCGCAGAATGAGAGACAGGAGGCAATGATGTCATCCCTTTAATGACAACACAGTATAATATAGGCCATATACTCATCATGCCCAGTTTCTTCCATAATATGAGAATGTATTTATAAATATTATTGTTTTTAGGCCTATTAAAACATTATTACCTGATTATTCTGGGGGTCGCGACTCTAAAAAGGTTGAGAACCACTGATCTAACTATCATTGGGACAAGCAACAGGAAAGCATGAAATGTTTCCAGGAATCCTTTCACGCTGTGAAGATGATATAAGCTGCATAATTGCAAACTTATTCATGAATTGCTTTTACCACCTGTCAAATCCACTCAGATCTAGCCCTTAAATCCTTTTTTCCATCTCCTTAATTAGATTAGATTAGATAGACTTCATTAATCCCCGAAGGGAAATTGGGTCGTCATAGCAGCCATGTACATTTAAATAGAATAAAATACAACAGAATAAAATACAACAATAGAATAAAGTACTGAGGTAGAAAAAATAAAAAAGATGAATAGATAGATAAGGTGAAAAGAAGTTGTAGTTGCAAGATGGTGGTAATAGTACTGATGATATGAAGGTAGTAAGGTAGTGTTATTGTTAATAACAGTATATAATAATAATAATAGAAATAATATTAATAATATAGTAATAATATATATACACATATATATATATATAATATGTAGACATATATACACACGAGATATGATATGATATATAGCATATGTATAATAGATACTTGACTATACAAGAAAGATATACATACAATAAATAATATATTATATATTGTAATATAATAATAACAATATAATTATTATTAATATAATAATAACATATTGTATAAATATGATATATAATATCAACATGATTGAGTCCAGTTCTGCAATTGTGGGTCTGACAGAGGCAGATGAGTTATAAAGTCTTATTGCAGTGGGGAGGAACGATTGTCTGTATCGTTCCATTCTTGGTTGAATGAGTCTGTTGCTGAAGCTGCTCTTAAGCTTGTCCAGTGTTGTGTGGAGGGGGTGGGAGGGATTGTCCATGATTGCCAGCAGTTTTGCTAGCATCTTCTCCTCCACCACCTCCTCCAGGGTGGCAAGCTTAGTGCCAACAACAGACTCGGCCTTCTTGATGAGTTTATTCAGTCTGTTGGCGTCCTTTGCCTTGATGCCCGCACCCCAGGACACCGCAGCAAAGAAGATGGTGCTCGCCACAACAGACTGATAAAACATCTGCAACATCCTGTTGCAGACATTGAAGGACCTGAGCCTCCTCAGGAAGTAAAGCCGACTCAGGCCCTTCTTGTAGATGGCCTGTGAGTTCCAGTTTACTACTACAGAGCTACTACAACAGGCTCCCGCTAGGACGGCACCATTTTGCATCAGAGTTTAACAGAGTCTAACTTGGCATATTACAGTAAAAAGTAAGGGCACCTATTGATTTGACAGCTGTAGGCGTATCAAATGTGAAAGGTTAAACAAAGCTGATATTGTATGTAAGCAGATGACAGAAAGGCTGTGTTTTTTGATAAATTTCTCACTCATACAGTGTATCCTACCTTTAGGGCCTGATTGAAACCCTCCACCATACTGATCCACTGAGCAGTTTGTTTGGAGAACTGGCTCGCCTGCACTTGGAGAGTCTTCACCTCATGGTCGAGCTTACGTTGGTTGACGTATGCCTGGGCAACGCTAAAAACAGGAAACAACAATGAGAAGTGCTCCAGAATAGTTCATACATTCAAAAATAAAGCATTATGTAGTGTATTATATATCCACTGTGGCAGGTGAGAGTGAATTTGTACTTGATAGTCACTCATTTCTAAATTTATAAAACATTCTCTAAGATTCTAGACTAAATCTTACCAAATGGATTTATTCGGGTCATAATCTTCTCTTAAAAAAAGGAACAGCACAACAATGGGCTTTGCATCCCACTCTTGTTCTTTAAGCTGATTGTCTTGGTTTCGCCACAACTTTAACAATGTTAACAGTCTTAAGGTACTATTTATTATTGTGTCACACTCACACATGAGGCAAATTCTGCCCTGCTAAAATGGATTAATTTATTTTACTGGCTCAGAGGGAAGTGGGTGGAGCTGAAATATGGTAGGGAACCATAATATGTAGAGTAGACAATCTATACGGACTTCAAGGGACATGTTTATAATGCAGAAGAATTCATATGCCTTGTACAGGAGCAGGAATACAGCACAGCACTGGGCAAAATTAACTATAAACACTGTAAAATGTGATACTCAGTAGCAACACTAATGATCTATAACAATGGCATATAATGAAGCACTAAAATGATTTGTCTATTAAATGAAAAATAACCTTCAACATTTTTGTGAATTAAAGTTATTTGTCAAGCAAAATGATATTTACTGCCCTTTCTGTTAATTATTATTTAGGTTTTGGATTGTTGGTTGGAGATAATTTGAAGACATCACATTAGGTTTGGCATTTTTCACAATATTCTTACATATTGATTATACCAAGCATCCAACAAGTGGCAGATTAATTAATTAATCGTTTGCACAGCCCACATAACATTAAAGTGATTAGTTGTTATTCAATCAGAAGATGAATTGCCAACTATTTTAATAACTGATTGATCATAAAAGCACTGTCGAGGATTTGCTGCGTTTGCTTGTTTTAAATCAGAGTAAACAAGACATCTGAAAATGTCATCTGAGGTTTTATGAAATTGGCTTTTTTTTAACCTGACGTTTTACAGACCATATGAGTGATTAAAAAAATAACTGGAAGATGAAT